GGTGATACAAACACAGGGTAGCATAAACAAGACCGGACGAAAAATTAAAATTAAATGAACTCAACTGAAACACAATGACTTAAATACTTGGAACAAACAAAGGGAACTAATAAGGGCACAACTGAATGAAATGTCTAATCAAATCAGTAACCAAGAAAACAGATAAGGAAAGTGACAGGCAGGGAGAAAGCAAAGATAGAAATCAAACTGAACATAACTGTGACAATTATTAGGAATAGTTCACCCAAAAAATTACTGAAAATGTGTTCTGCCTCAGGCCATCCAAGATGTAAATGAGTTTATTTCTAGATTTGGAGAAATTTAGCAATTACATCACTTGCTCACCAATAGATCCTCTGCAGTGAATGGGTGCCGTCAGAATGAGAGTCCAAACAGCTGACAAAAATATCACAAGTAGTAATCGACAAGACACCAGTCCATCATATAAAGTTTTGTGGAGTGAAAAAGCTCCATGTTTGTAATAAACAAATACATCATTGTGATTTTTTTTTTTTTTTTTTGATTTCAAACCATTGCTTCAGGCTAAAATACCAGTCCTTTCTCCACTGAAAAAGTAATCTTGTCTGAATCAGGAGAGAAATATGCACAGATCAAGCACTTTACAAGTGAAAACAGTCCAAAACAGTTCTAAACAAATATGTTGGTGGCTTTTGATGTGAGAGGACAAATGAATAATTATTATGGATTATGGACTTGTATTTTCTCCAGAAGTAATGGTTTAAATTTCAAAGCCTTAATGATTGATTTGTTCATTACACACAGGTTTTTGCTTCACAAAATGTTAATTGATGGACTGGAGTCATGTGGATTATTGTGGTGTTTTTATCAGCTGTTTGAACTTTTATTCTGACGGCACCCATTCACTGCAGAGGATCCACTGGTGAGTAAGTGATGTAATGCTAAATTTCTCCAAACTCATCTACATCTTGGATGGCCTGAGGGTGAGTACATGTTAAGCAAATTTTCATTTTTGGGTGAACTTTTCCTTTAATACTGAAGTCCTCTGAGTAATCTTTCATACAGATCAGTTTGTGAAGAATTTTAGATAATTTGTTCATACAGTCCAGATGCCAGATGATAACCTCATCACCATATGTTTTGGCTGGAATGAGATCATTTCCTGCAGTGATGTGTTTTGTCTTCATCAAACTTTCGATCCAAATTTATGCCGTATGTTTAACTATCATCTTATCTGTCTGCTGTGCTTTCTTCAAATAGTCTTCAAATAGTTATTGTGGTAAGCCTGGGGTTATTTGTGACCTCCTGATGTATTTGCTATATGACTGCTTTTTTTTACTCATTTCAACTCCTGTGAAATGAGTTGAAATGTGTTGTTAGTGAAGACTAACAACAGTGGGTTGCACCTCAGCAAAAATGTATAGATGTGAAGTAATTGTGTAAACCTTTTCCATGGTCCACAAGGCTTTTAAAGGATATTAACCACTAAAGGTGATGTTAAAAAGTGCTGTTTGACAGAGAGGTTCATTTGGGTCAGTTGTTCTAATCTGTTTTCTGATTTCATGAATCATATCGTCTTTGACTATCAATAACATTTAAATGAAGATCAGCTCGCAGTTTTAGAGTCAAATGATGCAGGTCTACAGATAACAACAAAAAATGATTTCAGAGTGTATTGAGGAGTTACTTTTAAAGAGAGCCCCATGCACTTTCAACCTTGAATTTATGGAATCCTTTATTTTTGTACTATATCACAAGGATTTGACAAAGACATTTTCTCTTAAAATTCAAAATAAAAATATTTAGAAATACATCATTTTTTAAACTTATTTACAGTATATCTTGTGTGTTTTCATTTAATCTAAGCTTTTATATGTAGTATGTATATGTAGCCTTTATATATGGAGTATCAAATCAGCTACAAATTTGATTATTTAAATGTATTAATCTTAATCAGTACTTTGGTCTTGTTTTATAGCAAAAAATATGTAGCCGTCCTTAAAAGAAGATACATTTAATTGGTAAGCAAACTTTTGCAAGATATAACTTTTTAGTGGTTTATGTTTCCGGCCAACTGGAAAATTATTTGTTCTTATTTTAAGCACAAATACTGATGAAGAAAATGATTTTTACAGAGTATCAGATGACAGGATCTGTATATACTTATACTGTACATCAGTTCAATTCAAGGCACTGTATAACCTGATGTCATTTTAATTGATCTCCCTTTATCGTCTTCTCATATTCATGACTTCTGTTTATTCTCACACACCTTTAAATAAACTTTTAAGTGCTCTATAAATAATTTGACTGTTATTGAGGAAATGAAAGTGTTGCTGCTTTGCACACTGCTGGTGTTTCACCGAATAAAACCATTATTATTTTCTCAGCCTTATTCAATATGCCTCATTAAATATATAATTCTTCAACATATGTACAGTTTTATACCTGTACCTTTTGTACTGAATGTCTATGAAAGCCATTTATCAGATATTTGTCCAATAAGCTCAGACTTACGGCAGAAATACTGATAAATGGGAAGAAACAACTGGCTGTGGGGTTAAGGCCTTGATCTCTTCTTCCTCTGCAGTTAAGACGTTTATCTCCATCTCACACACAATAGTGGACAATACTTCGATGAAATATAGTGTTTAATAAATTATTTAAAATTTTCTTATAGTTTAATTAAGTTTATTATGACAGTCAGTAAGCTCTTCTTTATCCTGTTTCATGAGACGGCAAAGATCAGTCTCATACTCAGAGGTCTATTTTTGCATAAGATCCTCATGAATTCATCTTTATGCCATACATTGGTCCTGTTTGGTCAGTAATAAGCCACTCTTCACAGTTCACTTGATTAAAGTGGCATCGGCAGATACTCTGAATAGAAGATGTGGCAATATCTCATGACAACATGTCTTCCACATGCGTAGGACAGATACACCCGTATAAATCGCCATCTCTGCTGACACTCAATTTTAGTTTATTCTGTAGGGGTCAAGACTGGTTGTCCTTGGTAGTGGAGGTGTTTATGTCACTGGAGTGGTCATGCATTGAGCTCCTGCGGGGCAGCTTTGGCCGACAGCGCAACAGAGCGAGAAGTTCACGGGACACGCTGCTGGAAAAGGCTGTGTAGATCCATGGGTTTGTACAGGAGTTTAGACTGGCTAACAGCATCAGGATAGTGAAAGCCACTCCTGAGAATGTGGGAGGGAGGAAGAGAAAGTCAAATCAATTTCAAGTCATTTATTGTACAGGTCAAATTATTGTCCTTATTTAAGGGGTACTACTAATATAAACCACATTAGAGACAGCAACTCCTTGAAATGTGCTGATCTAAAAGAAGTTTAAAAACTCAACTAAAACCTTGTTTATACTTTCCCAAATGCTCGCCCAAGCTAGCAGGGAATGTTTTTAGAACTTTGGCTAATGTTCTGCCAAGGTTGTTTTAAAGTTATGTTCCAGTAATATTAATAGAATGTTCGTTCCAAGTTATCGGGTCTTTAATAACTTTATCAAAACGTTAGCACAAAAACTTTCTTTAAACATCAATCATGCGATGTTTTTCTGTAAATTTTAGTTGGATGTTCATCTTATGTTTTTTAAATATTACTACCTACTAGTTTCTAATAGTTTAGAGAACAATCATTTCCCTAATGTTTGCAAAAATATAGAATTGAACATCCCTTAGTGATTTCTCTAATGTTCACATAACCCCCCAATTTTTCTTTTTTTGGAATATTCTGAGAACATTCAGAAATATTGTTTTCCCACATTAATGGAAACATTAGCAAAACATTCTTAGAACATATTTTTGTTACCTGGGGCCACTCTGAATGACTCAAAGCATTTATACTTGCACTTTTCTCTGAATTATTGACTAAACCAGCAATAGCCATTACAAAGTGCTGTATTAAGGATATTTATAGTTAAACTTTAGCATTATTTGCAGTAGTGTTACACTGCCTCAAAAAAAAAAACAGTTTTGGCATCAAAAAAATAAATGACATTTTAAAATATATTAAAATAGAAAATAGATATTTAAATTTCTAATAATATTTTACAATATCACTGTTTTTACTGTATTTTACAGTACCGTATAAGAGACTTCTTTCAACCCATTCTAACCTATTTTTAAAAAATCTTACCAGCCCCAACTTGTACCCAAACTTGGTAGTGTATAGAGCTTTAAATTGGAATAGGAAATAATGGGAAGACATCCAAGCAGAGATTTATAATGACAAAAAATATATTCTAGTTTAAGTTTCCATTGTTGGAAATGCAGTAAGAAAATTTTCTTACACTAAACAGTTTATATGACATTGAACTGTTCAATCAGTGGCGATATGTTGCAAATTTGGCTGCAAGTAAACAGTTGAAACAAATCAAAAGCAGCTGGAGTAAAAGCACAGATGTGTGTATTAGCAGCTCTCAGTGGCCTGTGGTGAGAGATATCAACATCTTTTTGGTGATTGAAGAGCAGCAGGGGAATAGGTTATTTATTGGTGTGAAGAAATGGGCTTTAGGAGAAAGAGAGGAAGATAGAGCGAGGAAAGAGATGGACTAAGGAGAGAAATGGAGGGCATTTGCAGGACATTTCTTGTAGTAAACACTGACTTGCATTGACAGGCTACACATTTTCCGGATAATTTGCAACCATTCCAAAGCACTTCCACAATCCACTGAGTCAGTCCTCTTGTAAAGGAATTAATAATACCCTTATTGAACAGCCAAATGTCATCATTGAATTGTACCTCATGCGTTTACATCCAAAAATGGCAATGCTATCTGCTTTAGTTTCTCACCTTGGTCAGGAGGATTGGGGTCCCAGGCAGCCCACAGCTGTACAATGAAGAAGGGTGACCAGCACAAGGTGTAGACAAGCACAATCACCAGAGTCATCCTCACTGTTTTAGACATAGCCTTCGATACACCTCTAAGAGGTGGATGGAGGGGGTAAGGTGGGAAAGAGGGGTTTGAGGAAGCACTAGAGTCCTCAGTAGTGGTGTTGTAAGAGTTCCTGTGAGGAACAGAGTTCCCATGTGGTGTCTGGACAGCAGCAGAGTTGCTCCAGATAGTGTGAGGGTGAGTCTGAATGCGAGGCAGCACATCGGGGGATGAACTGTGAGTCTGTGAGGCCAGGTCTTTGAGACTACCATTCTGACAAGATTGGTCACAAGACTCCGGCTCTGGTGCGTTCTCAGAGTTGCAGGTGTGGGAATGGGACGAGTCACTGTTGGTGTTCTTTTTATGGAGTTCTCTTGCTTCTCTCATCTTGCGTAAGCATCTAGCTCTCTCTCGGACTGTGCTGGCCCGTTTTTTGAAGATAGGAAAGTGAAAAATTACCAGGTTCTTCTTCATGTCCGCAGAAACCACACGTTCTGATTTCAGGTAGATGTTGTCATGGATC